AACCACTGGTCCCGTTCTTTTCATCTCCGAATTATTTATCCTGCCTATCTTATCTAGATAGACATACAGATACATTAGTAAGTGCAAAACTCAGGCAAAGCCAAATAAAACAACAAAGGAAGTCAAAACTAACAAACCAATAACAACAACAGCAGAAAGCGAGAACAAAATAAGAGAAAACCACTGACAAAAAAGGAAAAGCTAATAGTTCAAAGTTTGTTTGTTGGCCTTTACGAGTGTTTTCCGGTTGAGTCTGATGGGGTGCCACACTGTCTCCAAAGTCTATTTTTGGTATTGCCCAGGGATTTCATCACTTTGCTCCCCTTGCTGCTCTGTCACAGCATGATGGGGTCATATTGTGCACAATTCCCACACTGTGTCTCCAGTGTTTCCCCCCACAGCACTATGGTTTAGTGAGGGACGTTGTGTCTCAGGGTGGGACCAGCCCTAGGATCCTCTCTGTGTGTTGTCTGCTCTGAGCAGGAATATCGTCCTCAGGGCTTGGTGGGCCAGGGTGTCCTCCCCTCCCCAATCCTTTTTTGTTTCTCCCACGTGCTCTAATCAGACACACCCCTCTCCCCAGGCTGTAGCCCCAGTGCTGTCCTCTGAAGTGCATTGTTCTGAGGCGGGGGCAGTGTCCACATAGTTGGGATTGGGGCTGGCCCTGCAGACCTCTCTGTTGGTTCCCTAGTGAATTACTTCTTTTACAGAACAAAATTATCACTGGAAATGATGTGTAGATTTTTTTTAATTAGTAGCTGTAGTTTACCTAACAATATGATAAAATCAACCACAGGTTTCTTTGGCAGTGTCAGAAGCCATGGTTTGTGGACAAGAACCACATTAAATCAAGACCCAGAAATACATTTTCCACTGGTTGCTAATCACAGGATAAACTCACACATAAGCACTAGGGGTACTTTTTTTTTTTTAAGGAATAAAATAGATGCATATCTATGATATTGCTCATAAACAATAAGCTCTTCAGACTCTAAAAATATTCATACACATTGACTAGTAATTTCACTTGGTGGAATTATTTATAATAGCAAAAACTTAGAAAACAACTTAAATATGTGAAATATAAGGGAATAATTTAATAAATTGTGGCACATAGCTCCAATGTAATATTTTTGAGCATTT